GCAACTACCACACACACACACACACACACACACACACACACACACACACACACACACACACACACACACACACACACGATCATCAATGGAATGTCACATTAGTACACAAAATCATTTGGAGATATTTCCCCCGAGGGACTGAAGCATTCCCATCATGTTGCCTCGGAGGCTGATGGATCCACATCTTCACTTGCCAGTTCCATTTTAAGCTGCCAAACATGCAGCTCCATTCTCTTCTTCCTCGCAGCTGATCATGATTGTTGAAGGGCATGAAATACACTGACGACGAAGACAACATATATTTGTTTTCTTATTATATACAAGTGTATGGCGTCCAGTGGCAGAACAAAGAAAGTATAATGATGATCTGGAATAGTGAGGCAGGATTTGGATACATAACGATTTGTGATTATTTTGAGTGATATTGCAATTGCGATTTGATTCATGATATTAGAGGGAATTATCATTTTTGAAACATGATTCACATTAGATCACTTTCATTGTATTTGAACCTGCGCTGCTGCACTCAAATGGAATGGTTTAATCAAACAGGACTGAATATTTAATGCTTAGCCACTCATTCAAACACACACAGAACAATGGCTGAGGAGTTGCTATGCGAAATGTGAGGATTAGTATCTTGAAAGACACAGGGATTGAACCCTCCAACCCACTGACACACACACCAACACACACAGAGTCGGAGAGATGTACAACTTTATTTTTCCTGACTCCATTGTATCAGCATATTGGCAGCTGGCTATTAGCTGAGTAAAATGGGAGAGACACTCTTCCGTTCCATTTAACTCTCACAGACGAAAGCCACAGTGTGACCACTGAACAGAGTCATCAGAGTGACAGAGAGGAGGCGAGGCGGAGAGAGAGGGGAGGAAATAAAAAGACAATGAGATGCAGAAAAGTGTAAGACAAGCGCGGGGTGCAGACAGAGAGAGGCTCAGCAGGTTAATCTTAAGATGAATGGCCTGTAATTAATCAAGTGACAGTTCAACGGCGGGGAGAGAGCAGGGAAGGCACCTTCCATTTGCATTTTTACATTCCGACACACGCTGTTCCCCCTCAGCTATTTCACGCTCTTATCTTGTACTTAGGAATAAACCGCACTGCAGGAAACAGACACTTTAGAAAGTCCAACAGAGTTGCATTAGGTTTCTCATAATAATGTTAAGTTTGATTATACTTTGCAAACTGCACAATGAGCAAACTGTGTGCTGCATTTTGGGGATTTGTTCCTCTACTAGTGACTTCTTCCTCTAACCACCTTCCTCAAAGATAACACATTGAACTTCCCAGGACTAACGCACCATGACGTCTCCTTTTCTCCCCGCATTCACTTCCTATTTTCCAGTGTTGCAGCCCTACATCACAGTTCAAAACGACCCCATATTTGTTATACAGGATGCCATTTGACATCGCTGTCAAAGAGCCCTAAGACAGAGGAGGCTAATGGCTCTCCATCCATCTGTGCTTACGTAACGTCCCATAACTACATTATTAAAAAGCACCCGAGCCTCATTTCTTAAAAATAACTACATGTAAACCATCAAGCCTTACAGCAGCTTACACAACCAGCTCTACTTCAAACTTACAAAACTAAACTCTTAGTGCAACAGTTTTTACTGAGCCAAGAGCATAAAGGAGCTTTTCTGTCACACACGGGGTCAGAGGTCGCAGCACTTCAGCATTTCATGAAGAGCTTCAGATGTTGCTCTGTAGCCAATCAGCACCTACATCCTTTGGCCTAGACAGTAACAATGTCGGGGTGCTTCATCGCAAAGTGCTTAGAAGGCAGTGGAAATCAGCGGCTGCAGTTTTAATAGATGTTAAGCTTTATTTTTGCAGGGAACAGGAGTTAACGAGGGGAACGAAGGCCCATGCATCAGGCGCTAAGAGAAACTAGCCACACAAAGAGGCAGCAGAGTCTGGCTCCTGCCTGGAGTCTGACTGATGATAACTTATAGAGTAAACAAAATCAGCAGAAAGCTGCAACGCGCTCACATAAAGCACATCTCGCCGGCAAGGTCTAATTACTGCGCTACAGCAAAGACAAAACTATCTCCTGTTCAATCTATTTCCCCCCAGAAACAACAACCGGCAAGTGCTGAGCCCGCTTCAATCGGGAGAGAGAGAGAAATATTTTATAAAATGAAATGGAATTAGCCCTAAGGTATTTGTTTTACCACAAAGTCTCTCGACGCTGTGTGTGATCAGCAAAGTGTGTGCGATGTGAACACAGATGTTACTGTAGGAGACGATGTGTGTGTGTGGTTACCTGGAGTTTGCTCTCCAAAGCCGCCGTGGCGCTGTCTCCGCTGGTCTCGTCCACCACCACCACCATGTGGGTCAGAGAGTTCACCCTCACCTGCTCCAGCTCCAGGTCCTCCTGCAGCAGCTGCAACGGGAACACACACCATGTGAAAGAGGGTTAATGGCAGGAGAGCTGAACAATGTTGGTTTACTGCAAGATCGAAGAGACCACAGAGCAAGGATTCAATTGGATTACTCGAACACAGACACAGGCAAACAGAACAGTCGGAGTTCTCTTTTTGGGGCAGATTTTTAAAACTGTTATCGTTAACATTTTTAAATCTTCTGGTCATTTTGGACATGTGAGAGTTTGACGTCAAACTTTTTAAATGTATCTCGTTTGAAGTCGAGTTTTAAAGTTTTAAGTTGTTGTCTAGTGCACAGAATGTTCCAATCTACGCCTTAACTTCAGCTTTTTAAAATACGTTCACATTAACCGCATTCTAACTCCTTTCACTAATTTAAATTAGATGTTCAACTGAGCCCTCAAGACAAACGTCAATGCTTCAACCTAACCTATCATTTCTTCTCTCTGCACTTATTTAAATTGATGGTTTTACTTCTGAAAGGTTCACAATTAAATCAACACTTCCATCAAATCCTGCCAATTTCATTTCTTTCAAATTAAATTGCCACTTTAACGTCTTTACATATTCTAATTGCATTTTCAGCATCACACACACAACATTTCTTTAAAAAAGCATTATTTGTTGTGTTTATTTTTATTCAAAGAGTAGATTTCTTATTATAATGAATTGATTGTTTAGTCAGGAACACTTCTGAAACTGTTGTGTTGTGTTTAGGAAGCTTCACATGCTGTAAACATTCAAGGCTTTCAGTAGGAGTCACCTTTCTATATTTTACATTATTCAACCTGTACACATATTGATACAAAAACCTTGCAACAAAATAGAGCAAATCCCAACAACAAATCTTTAAGTTGCATTTTTCATATTGTGTAAAGCCTCCACTGCTGGTAACAGGATTCAATTTCCAAATCTTCTCTGAGAGCTCCCATTTTCTCCAGATGATTCTGCACTCCCAGTCAGAATGAGATTCCAGCGTGCAGCAGGGGAATTGGTTACGAAAACAACATAAAAGAAGTAGGACACACACACACACACACACACACACACACACACACACACACACACACACACACACACACACCAAATAAAAAAAACCAGGGTCTGCTGATTTTAGTTTCTGTTGCAGACCTATGATTTCTAAGTGGATGTCGGGATGTCTGGTGTCGGTCCTCACTCTTGGGGTAAAGTTGTAAAGCAGTTTTGTTTCAGAGCTCAATACCCCTATGTTTAAAAGTGGCAGAAAACAAAAGCATAACCTGAAATGCAGTCATGGTCGGCTTATTTGGTGCTTTGTAATTGTTGGAGATCTTTACGACTTCAAAAGCCACTTACTATTAAACACAATGCAATCAATGATTGCCATGGTTGAAAGTGATAATTCCATCTTGACCTTGGAAATAGCGGTCGGCAGAACAACAAAAGCTCCATTTAGTAACTTTCAGTCCCAGTCGTCACGGAAATAAAGATGCTTTAAGAACTGCCACTCTTCTTAAACATAATAAAAATCTGAAGTACGTGTGAATTCATTTCTACCAGCAGCAGTACGATTTATTTTACATTTTGCATAATATGAGTAAAAGACCAGCAGAAGGAGGGCCCACCTTGTGCTCTTCCACTTGGTGCTTGACGTCCTCCAGGTCAGGACCCATCGGTTGGGTCCCCATCCTTTTAATCCGCGCCTCCGTCACATCCAGCCAGTCGGTGAGCTGCTGCAGCTGCTGGTGCTGCAGGCCCATCAGCACCTCGTGGAGTCTGGGGGTGAGAGACAGTTCAATGAGCTGTCAATCAAACGTTGATATGGTGGGCGTCAGTGCTCATCAGAAAGAGTCCAGCTCAAGAGGAGGCCACAAGGTCAGATAAAGGTGTGGTTAAAGACTCTGAGGCCTCAAGCAGCTGATTTAATTGGTGGACATGATAAGAGATACCTCTCCTGTTCTTATACTGACCCCCTGCTGTTTTGTCTAAGTGCTGTTTGGTAGTCCAGGCCATGTCCGCACGGCTTTGTGAATCAACAAGATTATCAAAGCAGATAGCTGAGCAGTTAATTAAATTTGGCTCGGTGTCAGTTATCATTGAATGCACCATAATTAGAAAGGCCTTTGTATCCAACAATGCCGGCTACTGTGGTCCTCTTCATTGTGTGAGAAGAGAAGAAACTTTATTCAAAGCAATAAATAAATCCTTTCAAACCATATGAATGTGTCTCTGAGTGGGTATCATTTTTCATTAGGCTTTGCATTCTTTCACACCCCTTAACACTTTCAATCTTTTTCAATGTCGTTGTTATGTATTCAAATATGCATTCTTTGGTACTTTCACTTGCTTATTTGACTTCACGTTAATGGATTGCTTTATATATGGTGGTTTTCTAGTCTTAGCAACCACTCAAAGCACTTTAAAACACAATTTAGAATATGAAAAGTATGTCTTTATTCATGGTACTTGGCCATAAGCCCTAGGATTGTATAATTATAAACTGAGACACGATGACCAAAGTTCTTGCGGCACTGGGGATCCGTTCCAGCTGCAAAGGACCTGGGTTTGAATACAACCCGGCACTTGTTATGGTGTCATTCCTTCAAGTGTGTGTACCTGGTCTGTCTCTCCATGCTTGCCACTCTCAGGTGTTCCCACCGGGCGTTCAGGAGGTTCATCTGCTCCCTGACTTCCGAGTCCTCGTCTTCACTCAGGTTCCTCTCCCCCAGCAGGGCGGCGCCGGCCCGGAGGACCCGCCCCACGCTGCCTTGATGGGTGGTCAGCTCCACCATGTAGCCCTGGAGACAGAGAGGACATCCAACACTCACACCGGTTCCTCTCATTTTGCATAATTAGGAGCACTTCACGTCACTAATCCCACTGAATTACCCTCATTCACTTTAACTGCTTTCAAAATACATTTCACCCTCTCAACTCAGAGCTAACTCTATTTCCTCTGAGTACTTAACTCCTATATGATCCTCACACAGCAAAATGGTCAGGGTTAATTTAATTTTGAAAGTATAAGTGGTAAGCGAGTCGGCCAAGTCCACATCTATTAGAGTTAATTCAACACTCTCAGATAGCTTTAAAACAGCTGCAGCTCTGTAGGAGGAGACACATTAAATAAATTACAGATCAATCCAAAATCAGGAGATGTTTTACTCTGAGTGGAACAACCAGTATTTCTAGACTTGTTCTTCTTTTTCTCTGAGCATTTTTTTGTTTTTAGCCGACGACAGGGGCACATTACTGCTGCTCTGTTAACACTGTCAGAAACCATGATGTAAAATATTTAACATCTCACGCAACGAACATCTGGCTGTAGTATCATTCATGCGTGTACCCTGCCGAGCACATCTTTCTAGTATCAAACTGATGCTCTGTTAGGAAAAATAATCAATTCACATTTTACGGGAATAAAGACATTAACCGTTGGATATCACTTAATCCTTAACACCGCTCCTTTAACAACACTAGATACCTTATTTGTAATGAGGTGCTTTCCTGCTAAGTGCAAAGTACTCTGAATTGTTGTTACCAGTTGAAAAAGCTGTTCTGATAGTATCACTAGTTACAGCAGACTGCACGGCTCTGGCTCTCACCTCGTGCGTGTGGAACTGCTCCTTCACCTCCTCCACATTGTCGGAGATGGGAGGCTGGCCCTGGAGCCCGTCTTCAGCCGACAGCAGCCAGGTCAACACCTTCAGATTCAAAATAACACAACACACTCGAAGTATAAGAGTGTGAGATATTCTGTTTGTCTACTAAGCTAAGTGGTTGCTATTGATGATGGAAACATTTGAATACATACAAAAAGAGCTCAGTAACGGCTGGTAACTGTAGTTGTTCTTAAACAAGAGGAAATAGGTCATTCTTTGGGGACCATTTTCAGCGGCAAGACGGCGAATGTGAGATTGGCTTAAAATAAAACTGCAGTGTTTATCACGGTTATAAAGTTATACATCAGCCAGTGCAAAAGTGTTGCATGTAATGCTTTATGGACCAAAATAACTGAGCTCTGAGCCGATATATGAGGCTTTGATACACACAGTACTTTAGATCTATTGACTATCAGGAATATAAAAGCATAAAACAGAAGAATACATGAAATATAAGATATGAAAAATGTCTTGATGACCACCATACCTCCTCCAGTGCGGCCTGGTAGCTCTCCAGGCTGGTGGAGCCTGGAGGCAGAGGACTGAGGCCCCGCTGCAGCTCCTCGTGACCCGGACTCAGGAACTAGAGAGGGGAGGGGCGGATGGGAGGTGGCGGACAGAGATGATTGTGGAGAGGGAAATAAGTGTTGGGTTTGGGGGTAAGATGGGAAAAAAGGGTTGAGAAGTAGAGGGAATGTTAGGAAAAAGGGTTTGGGGGGAAAACACGCAGTACAGAGAAGATGGAGAGAGATGAGATGAGGAGAGGCCTGTTAGTGTAAGCCATTACCGTCGCTGACAAGCAGTTCTGGCCTCGCTCCAACCTCAACAACTTGTCCTCTTTCTATCTCTCTTTCTGTCTTTGTGTGCTGATCTGGACACTAACAACTTTGTATCTGGGCTCCATGCTCCTCCTCTCCCTCTATTCTTCTCTCTGCTCCTGAACAGATACACAGGGCTGATAACTGTCCAGCCTTCGTCACTTGTTTTGTATTGAGACTCAGAAATGACTGTACAGACTTTAAAGGAATCAAATGTTAAAATAAAAGCTTGATATTCATGTCCCTGACCCTCTTAAACATGGTTTTCTTTCCTCACGTGTCCTCAAAAATGTGTTTGACAGAGAAAACTAGACAATCGGTTTCTCTTATCTCAAATGTAAGCAACATTGTGGAGATAAGACGGGGGTTTTTATGCCGTGTTCTGCTTTACATTCCACTTTAAAAAGAACAGCGGGTGTGCTTCAATAAAGCTTACTAGACAAATTGAGCCCCCTGCTGCTACAGTAAATATCTGACACAGTCTCTGAACACATTCCAGCGAATAATGAGCCCCATTTTGTGATAAGGCATGGGAACATTTGGAAATGTCATGTTGTGTTAATTTGTGTTGGTTTTCAAAGGGAGTGATATACAGAGGTGTTATAAGGTTTCCACTCTTTCCAGCTTGTAGCCTCATAGTCAATATCGATATTTTTATCTTATTATAAACAGGTAAAGTTTATGATTTCTAATATTGCTAGATTGGGGAAAAAAGGGTTGTTAAAAAAAACTCTTAGTTAGAATTTCTTATATAATAAACACTAACATATCACACATCAATCGCAAAACATTTCAACCATGAATTATTGCCTAAGCATCAAATAGTCCAACTTAACAAGTCCCATGGTTTCATGTACATACTTAGATATTTGAAGTAAATTCATATTTTGACAGTATTTCATCTTTTCAAACTAAGTCAAATTTAGACTAAGAATATTTGAAAATACTTTTAAAGTGTTTTTACTTACTTTTATTTGGCAAAACCACCTTTAAAAATACAATTCCCTATATATATGTAAAACCATAGACTTGCTAAGATGGACATTTTTAGTGAATGACGCAGACAAACAGTGGCAGCCGGATCGTGCACAGACAGACAGATGGACGTGGAGTGTTAGAGCTGCAGGACACGGACCTGATCAGTACAACGCCTCCTCTTTTGCTCGGGCGACTTGACATATGCAGCCTGGGTGTAGGCATAGCTTTTATAGCGAGGCTGAGAGGAGGGACTCTGCACTCGGCCCTGAGCCACACTCAATGTGATCTGAGAGAGAGATGGAGAGACAGAGCAGGAGGGAGGGAGAGTTGGCAAGAGAGACCAGAAAAGAGAGTCGAAAGAATGCAAAACATCGAGCGAAAAGGATCCGAAAGCCAAATTCAAATGAAGAGGAAGAGATGCAGCAGGCGGGGAAAAGGGACAAGGAGCGAGTGATGATGGGAAATGAGGATGAGGACAGATGAGAAAGAGCAGAAAACAGGAGAAAAAGAAACATGAATACACATAACCTCCGTTTCCATCCAAATGTCAAGCTAATTTTACGAGAACTTTTGAATGTAAAAATTAAACGTGTTTTTCCATCAGCAGAGTTAGGGCTGCTCAATTCATCGTATTTTAATCGCAATTACGATTTTGGCTTGCAACGATTACGAAAACAACGTAATCGAAATAAAACGATTCTTTTTTTATTATTCTAATCTTTTCTTTTTTTTTTTTTTTTTTTGGTTTTTCAGTTGAATTATACTTAAAGTTCAGGGTAATCAACTGTTAAAAACATACTGTTCAATATTTTTTCAATAAATTGATGTTTTCAAAGTAAATGGATAATCGTCATATAAATTATTGACCCAAATAATCGAGATTAGGATGTTTGCCATAATCGAGCAGCCCTAAGCAGAGTGTCAAGAAACACATTTACAAGAAAAATGGGAAGTCTCCAAAACTGATATTGGGTAGCAGTTATTACTCGCACTTCAGCAAACATTATGGATGTTGCGGTTTTAATGTTCTCTGGAGATGAAATACTGCACAGACTGTGTCTAGGGCTGATGTTAGCAAACGTCAAACATATTTAGCATTTGATATTATCTTGGAATTGCTACTTCCTGTTACAAAGCAGTTATCCTATTCTGCAAACACTTTCTGGTGCTTATGATATTGTTTTAATATATATTCAAAGGCACCTAATCTTATGAAGCACATTGTTTTCTAACTAGAATCCTCAAAAGTGTCTTGGATGGAAACCCGGGTACCGTTTATGCTGACATGAGAGAGGGCAGAAGTAGACAGAGAGAGAACAGATGTGTTAATGCAGATGTGCACAATGACTGACAGACAGCAGCGCAGAGTCGAAGCAGATGTTGTGAGCAGCTCCTATTCAACAACCCAACCACACACACACACTCTCTTTCTGCCTGCTGATGTGTAGAAGTCATCAGTTTAACACTTGGTTTCCTCTCCAGGGAAAGAGATCACTGGCCTGTGTGGCTCTACACTCACTCTGCTCCATTTATCCCAAACGAGCAGCCGCTCTGAACGACTGCAGTCAGCAATTCACCACCATCTATCAGTCACTGGCTGGCAGCAACTGACTTTTAAGTTCTCATTAGGGGGGTACACTGAAATAAGCTCTTATTTTGAAGGGACAAATAACTCCTAATTGATGACGGATTCTCCCTCTTGATTGACATTTCCAAGCTGCCTTTCCTTTGACAGCCGGGTGATCTGCTGCATCGCTAAAACCGAGTCAACCGATCCACCACAGACACCATAAAAGTGTAATCTCTAGCTGTCTCGGAGCTTTCTCCCCAGCTATCAATCTCTCCTTTCACCTCCATCCCCTGAATCTCCTTTTCTTCTTCTTCTCTTCTTCACCTGTCATCATCTATCTGTCTGTCTTCCTTTCTGTTTGGCCCCTCACTGTTTCCCCTTCACTCCATTTCAAGGTGGATTAGGTGTTTTTCTTTCTGTAAAGAGCAGACAGCCAGAGGCCACCCGGCCCTGGATCAAACGCTCCCTGGCAGGGTGTTTGTTTTCACCCGCTCCGAGCACCAGGCGGGCGGGGTTTAACTCCGCGGGGAAAATGTCACAGAAAAGCTGACTTTGTGTCGTTTCCAGCAAAAACTTTGGCTACTTTATTTCCTTACTTCCATTTCCATGAACTATCATCCCTGAGTCCCAGGTGGGGGTAGGATGGTGTTGATGTATGGAGGTGTTGACAGCGCCGCTTTCATGATGACAGATGAGGGAGGAGGCAGATAATAGCCGCTGTCAGTTACTCTTTTCTTCCTGACTCCCTCTCTTGTTTTATTGCCATCCGACTTGCTCCTGCACTCCCTATTTGTCTGCTCCATCTCACTCTTCATTCCCCCCCTCCATCTTACTGTACATCTTTATACATCTCCCTACTTCCTCTTTGCCCTCTTATCTTTTCTTCTCAACATGCGCCAGTCTGCCTGGTTCCCAGAAGGGAAAGTACTTTCTCTCCACTCTGAGGAAAGGCTTGACGTGGCCATTAAACTAAGTGAGATAATGATATTAGCAGCCATTAGTCCAGGAAGCTCGCTCCATCCTGCTGCGATTCGGCGCCACACTGACCTCTTCTTAACTCAGCTCTAAAAGGTCAGCGCCGGTGGATCTCATTTGTGGCTCTGTCAGGCTTTTACAGCACTTTCTTTCGGAGTCCCTGTCTCAATTTAGCAGTCAATTCTCACTCCGAAGCTCACAGATATAATCAAAGTAAAAGTGAGATTTCTCTACTCCTCACTGAAAAGGTGACAACAACTCCCAGCATGCCTGGCTGCGCTAAGTTACCCAGGAAAAGAACATCTGCTTGCCTCCCTGCTCTGAGACTCGAACCTGATCACGTGATGGTGGATGGTGATTATATAGATACGGAATTATTTATATTAGGGCTGTCAGTCGATTAAAGTATTTAATCCCGATTAATCGCATGATTGTCCATAGTTAATCGTGATTAATCGCAATTTTTTTATCTGTTCTAAATGTACCTTAGAGGAATATTTTTCAAGTTTTTAATACTCTTATCAACATATGAGTGGACAAATATGCTTTATGCAAATGTTTATTATCATTTGAACAATGACAAATATTCTCATGAATATTAAACACAGCAACCTCTGAACATTAAAAATATCCGCCTCAATTCAACCTGGAACCTCTCTCACACAATACAATACAAATGGTGTGTGTGTGTGTGTGTGTGTGGTTGCGTGTGTGGTTGCGTGTGTGTGTGCGTGTGATGGATTTTTGGAGCTATGTGCAACTCAAGGCATATGCTGCTCGAACGGGAGCTGCCTGGACGCTGCAATCATGTTGATCCGTGCTGAGTGTGCTGACTTTTCGTACAGTGTCCCACTGTCTGGCTACCTGCATAAAGTCAAGTGCTTGGCGGAGTTGTCGGCGAAATGTCGCTCCTCTGTTTTCATTTAAACAGCTCCCAGGGCTCTCAAGTTTTGAACAGAGTTCAGAGTGAGATTTTGGCAGCGGCGGGGCTTTGGGTGGGGACGGTGGTCTTATCTGATAAATGACACATAAATTCATACAAATAAAAACATATTTATTTCATTCTTAGTGAAGGGATGTGTGTGTGTGTGTGTGTGTGTGTGTGTGTGTGTGTGTGTGTGTGTTCGACTAGTCGACTACCTTTACCACTAGTCGGCGCTGTAGGCCCTAGTCAACTAGTAGTGAAAAAAATTGAGGTAAACGAGGTGCTGCAAAATGCTACAAAATACGTCCGACATTCTTATGTATGGCAGTACTTCAACGAAGATGTAACCAACTCCACAGTGAAGTGTCAGTTGTGTACAGCTGTACTGAAGTACAATACAAATGCATCTGCTATGCGCAACCATCTGAAGATGAAACACCCGCTGCCGACAGCTAGCACTAGCAGTAATGCTAGCACCAGTGAGCAACGGACCGGCGTCAGCACTGAACAGAGGCGAACGAACAGCAAGAAAACACGGGTCAACAGTGATGCGGATGATGAGCTACGGGATTACTGCCAGCGGACACCGCATATCCCCACAATGGATAATCCACTGGAGTGGTGGGCAGAAAACGTGCACCGCTTCCCCCGCTTTCGAGGAGCTACCTGGCTATTCCAGCCACAAGCACCCCGAGTGAGAGGGTTTTTTCCCTGGCAGGCAACACTGTCACCCGAAAGCGGTCAAGCCTCCTTCCCTCACATGTCGATGCGTTGGTGTTCAAACCAAAAATATGGAAAGGTGGA